CCAAACTTGAGCCAGATAACAATCAATTCCTTTCCAACTGAGGATTTAAAACCACAACTCAACTGTTCTTGTCAGGTCAAATAACCCCATATTTTGTTAAAACTGAGTCCTAATTATTCTTTACCAAATCCAGCTATGCTGTCAAAGAACCATAAAAAACGTTCCCTTGAAGCAAAAACTAAGCATAACCCATTAGACCCATCAACCCAAATCCCCCAAATTATCACCACCAACAGCTTAAAAGCTATTATAAATCCAACCCCAAAAAGCAAAAAAGCTGAAAACAAAAGGAATTGAAATATACAGAATATACCGAGCAAAGACCAAGTCTTATTAACTCTAGAATTAATCAGATTTCACTCACAAACCAGCCCAACTAGACAGAAACTAAGATATATATATACAATTTACAAAAACATAGACTTTTGCTATATTACAATAGGAATATAAAATTTATAAATCTTATATATAAAGGAAAACCTGGGGAAGGGCCAAAGGGTCGGATGAAGAATTGGAGGTCTGAGATATCACAGAGAGAGATTGAAACTCCTCAGCAGCGGATTAGATGAATCTCTCCCCTTTTTTGCGTTTGTTGAAGAAGGTGTTTTTCTGTGGCTTATAAATTGTGGAGAAAATGCTCGGGGGAGAGAGAGAGAGAGAACGGTGATGCCGGCGAAAGTAATCAGCTTAAGGACACGTGTCGGTGATTAGGTTTGATAACTAATAGTGTACAGATAAAAAGGCATTCCTTTTCCTTTTTGGACAGAACATTCTGTACTCACCAAATTTTTGTTTACCAACCAACAGATGATGTTCGTATCCAAAAAAAAAAAAAAAAAAACTGATGATGTGGTAATATTTTATTTTTTAAAAAGTTATGATATTTCCATGTTTTGGATTGGAGGGCATATTCCTTTTTTTATTTATAAATCCATATATATATTATCTGTTTGTTTTTCATTGCAATATTCAATGAATGTATCCTTTTACGTTTAGGTCCGATTTTGATTATTCTTGTGATTATACCATTAGAAAAATACTAGGCTTACCACATTGTGTACGGTGGTACACAATGCGGTATAAAAAATGTGGTAAGTTTAGCATTATGATTCTTTCAAAATACTAATTATACCTTTATTTACATTCCTTTTGTGGAAAACATAAGGAGTGTGCACGATTACTTTTTGGCAAAGAGCAATTTTGACTTCTTTTTTTCCTTAAAAACAAAATTACAAAGAAAAGTCACAAGAACAACTCGATCTTACGTTATCAAAGTTGAAAGCTTTCTCACACAACTGAGAATACCTATATTAGCAAATAAACGCATTAGTTACAAAATTACCTTCCTTCCATGAGTACATGTCGAAACAAAAAGAAGATTGAAAGAATAAAATGAAATTAGCTCAATCTTTCTATTAGGTAAATGCTAAGAATAGTTTGCTAGAGCCTAGACCCTTCTCTACCAAAAAACACTCATAGAGCCATTTCACTTTGAGGAGGGAGGAATTCATTGTTCGTCATCTCCTCTCCTAGCGCCATTTTCACTTTGTTCTTCCTCCCCTCTCCTTTCTTCTCCTCTTCCCCTATTTTCAGAGACATAAGGTTTCCCCTACTTGTCTTTATTTTGTTATGATTTTCCTCAAACCATCACCGGCGGTTAGGTCCCGTCGTCGAATCTCCACCACCCTCCATTTTGCGGTTTCTTTATGTTTGGAATAAGTTGCATAGACTTGTTAGGTTCTCTATCTAGTTTTTACCTCTCCTTTTGTGAGAGTTTTCCACCTCTCATTTGTGAGAGCTTTTCACCTCTCCTTTGTGAGAGCTTTTCATCTATCCTTTATGAGAGTTTTATTTGTACTGTTATGGCTTGGATTTTTCAAGCTTTATCTATTTTCGATTATTCTGAGTTTGCAATCTTAGTTAGGATGCTTATGCCAGAGTTTCTTCAATCATGCGTGATCCTTAGTAAAGGCACACCAAATTGTCTTAATTTTTATGTTAGATCGCTCCGTTATTGTAATGACCACTTGTGGCTAGTATTTTTTTTTTTTTTTGGCTGAATTATGAATGCAATGCTTTTTATTTATATATAGAAATTCTAGTATTGCATTCATAATTAAACTAAAAAAGCCACTAGCCATAAAGGGCAATTACAATAACAGAGTAATCTAACATCAAAATTAAGACAATATAAGGCTCCTCCATTAACGATCACGCATGATCAAAGAAACTCTGGTACAGGCATCCCAACTCAAAGTGCAAACTCAAAACAACCAAAAATATATAAAGCTTGAAAAGACCAAGCCATAACAAAACAAATAAAACTCTCACAAAGAAGAGGTGTAAAGCTATCACAAAAGAGAGGTGAAAAACTCTCATAAAAGAAGAGATGAAAACTACACATAAAACCCAAAGAATCTATGCGACTTATTCCAAACATCAAGACACATTCGCCTATGATGAATTGAGGAAAATTATTACAAAATGAAGACAAAAAAGGGAAATCTTTTGTCTTTGAAAATTGAGGAGAAGGGAGGAAGGGAGAAGAGGAGAGGGGAGGAAGAATGATGGCTTCCTCCCCCTCAAAGTGAAAACGACTTTAGAGTGTTTTTTGAAAGAGAGAGGGCTAGGGTCTAGGCAATGTTTTGACAAAGTTTGAACATAATTGATGCATATGGATCGATCATCTAATGTTTGTCAATGCGTTACCAACTACCAAGGGAGACGTACATATGCTTATAATTGACAAAGTTTTTTATTTTTTTTATTTTTTATGGTTGAATTATAATTGACAAAGTTAAGTGCATCAATCTTTGCCTATTTTGAACACTATTACATCAAAATATTGTGCAATATTAATAATGCAGCAATCAAATCTCCAACCAAACTTATCCCAAATTATGTTGTATGCACTATAGTCTATAATTGTCCTATCATTTTTTCTTGATTTATAATTTCCGCACATTTTCATATCTACAAGGAATTTATGGCTCAAGTGGTTCACATTTATCTTTGTATTCGAGGTCCTATATTCAATCCCCTTCCCAAATAATTAAGAACGATTATCTTTATATTTGAAGTCCTATATTCGATCCCCTTACTTCTGTATCGAAAGAAATTTCATTATACAATTTGATATGTATGGATATTTCTAATAAATTATAACTATACTTACTATTAACTTTAGTGGATAAGCTCACTTGCAAATGGTTAGATGTTGCATTGTCCTATGGTCAATTAGAATCCTAGATTAGCCACCTAATTTTCTAGGTAAAATAATGACTTCGCCATCTCCTTGTCACCAATTAAACACGATAAAAAGGTTGCAGTTTGTGAATATGCCTTTTTAATTGAGGAACCGACATGGAAAGAAGGAGAAGAAGGTGGGAGAGCTGGCAAAAACAAGGAGAGGAGGAGTTTACTTCATGTAGTCACCATCAAGATGAAGCAGTCCACGTCACAAACTCTTGCCTTTGATAAGATTAGTTAATTTGCAGGTTTGATTCCACACGCATGCCTTTCTCATTGCTTCCTTTAATATATATTTTATATAAATTCCAAAAGGAACAACTGTAAACGAAGGTCATGATTTAAACTTCTACCAATCATATGCGACAATTATTTCAAAATCACCAAATTCAAAATAGTTTTGAACTCTGAAAACAAAACACGACACTATTCAACTATGGCTTGCAGTTGCAACGGTGCAAATTATGTATGCACGTGAAGGTCAAAACATTGCCAAACTATATATATATATATCGGATCGTTGAAATAAAATTTGTAGTAGATTTCAAAAGGTATCCACCGAAGAAAATTATTTTAAGCATTCTTGAATAGAATGAGATTATATACATACACACAAAAATATTTATCACACAATAGGATGTAGATCAATCATCAATACAAGAAGGCATAAACAGCCGTATAACTATTCTTAACTATTTGAGTTATAAATTGTCGGTTTGTTTTTCTGATATTTGCAGTCAATAGTTTATGTTTTTTTCCCTATATGATTGAATAATTCTATTATGATAGGTGGAATAAATATGTGGTCCTACTACGACTTACGGTGTAGAAAATAGCAAAGAAGAGGAAGCACCAAGGATAAGTACAAAATAGGTGCTGGTCCCCGTGACTTTGGAAGCGTGAAGATCCTTCGAAGTGTCTGTGCAAAGCAAAGCATTACCAGATTCATCTCCCGCTAATCCCAGGTTGGAGAAGAGCCAAGTCAGCCATTTCAACCGGATTCACCTTTGCCACGATATTACTCCAAAAACAAAATCCCGAAAAAGAAATTGTTGGAATAGGTCGGTTCTAATGTGGCCCCATCTCTTTGGAGAAACTTCTCCAATGAACACAACACAACTTGTTAGTTGTCAAAATTTGTAGTAACAGTTGACAACCATTCATACACGTATTGACAATTATCGCATGTACAATTCATAAGTGTTAAAAAATGCATTGATAGTTGAAAGCTACCTAATCGAGTGTAAGGGGTTATCGGTACTACAACTCAAAAGTGTCAAGAACACACCATCATTCACACTGTTACTCTTAATTTTGGAAGATATTTGTCACCGTTAATATTAAAAAAGTTTATGATCCAACTTACAAAACAAAATCACGTGAACAATCGAGATTAAAGGGAATAGAATGCATTGTTGGCAAGATGAGATTACTTCAAATATTATGACAACTGAGAAGTACAATGTCCGGTAATCTTTTTGGTAATTCCTTAAAAAATAAAAAGTAATCTTTTTGGTGTTAATCTTGTGTTTACATTTACGTCGTTTTGAGATTTAAGAGTTAAATACTTTTTGCAAAAGACTCACTAATATAATAGTTTAGAACAATTGCTTACCCAAAAAGGACCCTCAATTCGAATCATAATATCCATGTAATATCAAAATTTAGATTGTCTATCAACCGACCCATATTGTAAAGTCTAAAAGTAAAGGCCCATATAACAAAAGCTGGTCATTTTTCCTGAGGCCCATAAGCTGGAAAAACCCCCTGTGGCGGTCCCACATGCCTCAGCAGCGTCGCTGACCAAGTGTTCGATAAAATTATCGAAAGAGAAAAAAAGCCCCAAAACAAGGCAAAAACATGGGCAGGAGAGGAGGAGCCAAGAGAACAGGAAATACAGCATACGGGTCTAACAACACCATATCACTGAGAGAAGAATTGACAGGCAAGAAGCAAACCAAGGGACCCGCCGTCAACGCCAAGTCTGCACTGAAGCTCGAGCACTTGCAGAGACTCGCTGTATGGGCTGGTGGGGAAACTTCTGTTCCTTCTCTGGGTGCCTTCTTCGCGCACACGTTGGCCTCTGCTCAGGAGGCTCTGGGCGTACCTCCTGACCCATCTCTGTTTACTTGCCAGAGGTATGTGAATTTATTTTGCTTCCTTGAATCAATTATGGAAAATATGAATTACCCAAGAAAACGAATTAGCTGAACTGGTTTTATCAAATTTGTTCTTGTTAGTGTATGCATATTGAGGTGGTGGTTGTTATAAGTGCAGTTAGTTGCAAAGTATATGGCTTTTTGAGCTCAGTGTTGGAGTTAGAGTTTATGGCTTGATGCAATTGTAGCAGGTTGCAGACCAAAACGGTTAATGGGTTATATTAGGGTGTGCCATGGATGCATATGTTCTTTAATTGATAATTTTGTGGTGGGCAATTTGACTTTGTTATGCGCAAGTGTTTGGGTTTTAAATTGTTGTTGGGAAGTAACTAAGAAAACTTGTTGTTTTCCACTAATCGTTGAAATATTTTGCGATCGAAAGCTGTTGGAATGGTTGGTTCGCTTGTGTTAATAGTTGTTTGCTGTAAGAGGGCTGCATTGTTGGTTGTAGTTAATCTGTCCCAAATGCGAAGTAAGCATCTTGTGTTGTGGGTTGGTTAGAGCTATGCAAAAGCAAAAGAAACTGGCTAACAGTTTTAGTCCAATGCAAGTGGTTTGGATTAGATTGTATTAGAAATTTTAAAACCAATTGCATTAGATCGGCTGTACCAAAATTTTGAACCAAACCAATTCAATTATAACAGGCAATATAAAATTGTATATCTTTATGAAGAGTCTTAAGCTTGGTGGCATTGCATAATTTTCTCACGAAGCTTGTCCACCCTTGATTATTATCAGAGTCTAACATCATATTTAGCTTAACCATACCCACATTGTCTTGTGATGCTTATGTAAGTTACGATTTACCTTGATTAAGCTTAGTACACTGTACATCATAAAGATAAAGTTGGAAACTTATTGTTATGAATAGGTTTGAAATTGTTCTGCATGCAAATGGGCCAGCATTGTAGGTTGCAAACTAACTTTGTAAACATATTGAATTACTGAAATTCCTAATTATTTCAAAGTTCTACTTGAACAACATACATATAGGATTCATTGTCCACAGTCAGATATATAAACTAAGAAACATCCAACATAGTTTAGGGTTGAAAGATGGAGAGAGAATAGGCTTCTGACTCTATTGACCTGAAAGCCTAGCCAGCTACATGTAAGTTTCTTACTATGAGTTTAATTTTATTTACTTTTCAGAAAGGTTATTATTGGTTAAACCATGAAAGATAAACAATCACTCCGCATTGCATCTGTTTCAATAAAGTCGATTGCTAACAAAGTTCTCACCAGCAGTCATTGGGGTGTTTTTTTTTTTTTTTTTTTTCTGCTTACTCATTTTGCACCATATGCTAGCATGAAACATGAATCTTAAGATGGCATGCCTGGTTTTGTGCTTTTCTGATGCTGGCATCTCCTTTCTGTTTTCTTAGAGCACACAACACAGATAAAAGTATTAATAAACCTAGGTTTCGTGGCTTTTATTTCACCAATGTGGTTTTTTTTTTTGGGGTCATGTTTTTGTTGAAATTAAAGTGCTTTTGAGATAAGCTTAGAGTTCAAGTCATTCTAGTTTCATATTTTAAAGTTCCCATTGAATCAACTCCGAAAGCGAAATGAGTCAGCCACTGTGCACATCCAAAGTTCTTGAAACGATTTGTCTTTTAGATGCGTGTAATGTAGTGTAGCCTTGTAGGCTTTAATTTTTTTCCGGTGCCTTCTTGAAATGAATGATATTTCAAAGTATCTAGAAGGTACAACACTCTGATCAGCATTTTACTGTTTTGCAGATGTGAAACAATTCTTCAGCCTGGCTTGAACTGCACTGTTCGAATTGAGAAAAATAGATCAAAGAAACGACGAAAAAGTAAGAAACCAACTAGTTTCTCTCAAAACAATGTAGTGTATACATGCCACTTCTGTTCACATCGGAATTTGAAGAGAGGGACTCCACATGGACATATGAAAGTGATATGCCCCACTAAGACCAAAACAACTTTGAAACTGAAACCTGCTAAATCCATTTCCCAGAAGTTTGTCAGTTCAAAGAAGAGCATTGTAGCTGAAGATGAGGTTAGGAAAGCAAATGAGATAGCTGCATCAGAAATAATTAAAGTGAATGAGATAGCTTCATCAGAAATAACAAGAGAGATTCAAGCGAATGAGATAGCTTCATCAGAAATAGTAAGAGAGATTCAAGGGAATGAGACAGCTTCAGAAATAGAGAATGAGACAGCTTCATCAGAAATAGCAAGAGAAATTCAAGAGAAAGAGACAGCTTCATTAGAAATAGCAAGAGAGAATCGTATTATGGAAACTCGGGCAGATGAAGATGAGGTTACTATAGTGAATGAGATGGCTTCTTCAGCAATAGGCGGGGAGATTCCAACGGTGGACAGTCCTGAAACTCCAAAGGTGAGGACTGGACCTACTTTGTTACTTGGAGGGAAGAGGAGAAAGCGAAACAAATCAGTGTCCAAGAAACCAGCTGAACCTGAGAACAGTCCTAACCCGACAGATGCAGAAAACACTGGCAGCATGTCAAACAAACGGAGGAGAAAGAAGTGGACTAGTTTGAAGGAAATCGCTGAAAGCAGTGAGCACAAGAACATCCGTAACATTAGTGATTTGACAATCCCTTTCTTTGTCTAAGGTGCACAGCTCCATATGGCAAGTGGAATCAGTGGAAAACACATTTTGTAGCTTGGCAGTAGATCAAATTTTGAATGATATAAAATATCCCCTTATAGTTCCCTTTTGTATTCACACGGTACCTATCAACAAACTTTTGCTTGCTTGTTTGTTTTTCTAATTATTTAACTTTAAAAGAATTTTCACCATATTTTTTCTTTTTCCTTCTCAAACATAAAATGAGTCGTTGTGTATGCATGAATGCAACCTTTTTAAGGCATGGCAATAGCACGATTAGAGTATAAGAAAGTGTGAACCGATGTTTGGGGATGCATTTTGCAGAGTTAAAATCGCTTTCTGACAACTAAAGAGCACAACTTAGAAAGTGTGTCATGCATTATAAAATCAAAATTTTTTTTGGGAAGGTGCTTTTTTTATTTTATAAACCACTTAATTTTTAATAAAAAAATTCGAAAAAAACATTCTTAAAAATCGTGTACAAGTAAAAGTGCGGTTTAAAGAAGCAGTTAAACTTATCTCAAATGCTGAGGCAGAGCTCTTATTAACTGTTGACATTCACGTCTAACGGTTGTTGGAATTTCCCCTCGGTAGTCACCGCGGGTAATCACAGCCCACTAACTCATCATCACCGCCACGTATTCACCAGCAAAAAACTAGTATCCTCCATTTTCTACACTTGCTTCCAGACCAAACGGACCGGCTGCCGTCATCACCTAAAACAAAATACACGTGGCCGCTAATAGTGGCAAATCCGAAATTCCAGTAAACTACAGGCCCATTTTCAAAATCCCCAAGTGCGTTTATAAACAGCGGAGCAACAAACGTCATCATTCTGAGAGCTCCCTAGTCTGAGACAGAGCAGAGACCGAGAGAGAGAGAGACGACGGGTCCTTGACATCGATCACACCCACCAAACCGCACCGTTTCACCTCAGAATGGGGAACAGAAGGTTCGCGCAGGTCTCGACCAGCGACGACGAAGACGACGTTGCACCGCAAAATCAGCAGTTGGAGGAGGAGAACGGGTCGTCGAAGAAGAGGAAGCAGATGAAGCTTCGAGAGGGAGAAGAAGAAGAGTTAGAAGAGGAAGAGAAGCACAAGAGTAAGAAGAGGAAGGGAAAGAAAGGGAAAAATGTTAGGGACGAATCGGCGTCGGAGAGCGAAGACAACGAGGAAGAGCCACAGCTAGAGGACGCGAAGCCGATTGGCGAGGTCGTTAGGCTTTCAGGGAAGGGGAGGGGTCGCAGGCAACACTACGAGGCGTTTGAGTATGACGGCAACCGATACGACTTGGTAAGTTTGCGTTTTGGGCTGGGGTTTTTGGAGTTTGTGTTTATTGGTCGGGTTTTAGGGCTTTGATTTATCGATTTCACGGTGGCTTATTGAACGCATTGTTTGATTAATTGGGATAAATTGAAGAACTATTAGCAATTGTGAATTTTGGTTATTTTGTTTCTAGAGACTTTCAGTTTGGGTATTGATTGTTGAGTTTGTAGGGTTTGGCGGATTGGTTTGGTGGAAAAACGAATGGTTTTGATTCATTGCTTCACAGATACACAAATATTTACTCTCCATTGTTTGGAAAGTGTTGTTTAAGTTGGCATTATGGTAGCATTTACTTTCGGAACTTCTTTGTTCATTTATAGGGAAATTCAAGAAACTAGAATGTGATTTGTCAGTTTCGTCTATGTTTCCCCGTGAAATTTATTGTCTATGTTTCCAAAGATGGAATGGTTAAGTTGCGTGACAACAAACTTGTTCTGATTGCCTTCTTGGGACTAGGGAGGCAATTGATTTTTCCAGTCATTTTTTTCCCTCCCTGAGAAATGTTTTTTTTTCCCTCCCTGAGAAATGTTTTTTTTTCCATGGGCCTTTTAGATATATATAGGAACAATAGTATACTTTAGAATTTGAAGCAAAGAGGTCCTCAGCTGATATGTTACATAGACATGGGTTGAGTGTCAGATGTGGGTATGTGTCTAAGCTTCAGGTTCACCTGTTTTCCTCAGATTTTTCTATTTGGAGCAGCCATACCATTTTCAGTGTCTTGTATCATTGACATGATTGAGTTGGGGTAAAGATTGAAGTTAAGTGTCTATGTAAATAATTTACATTGCTTATGTCTTGCTGTTGGTATAATGTATGCATTCCTTACATACGGAAGATTCTCATCAAGTGTTATATTTTTCCTGTGCAATTGCTGCACATTTGTATGATCTGAACATGTTTTACAAATGTTGTTGTTTCTTAAATTTCTCTATTGCTGCTTGTTTTTATGTACTGTCTTCCTTTTTTCTTCTTGATATTGTGGTAATTAGGTGTTTTTCTCCGTATATCATTTTGAAAAAGTTCAGGTTGAAAAAATTTCATTTTCTGGGAATGGTATCACTTTGTTTATTTCAGTAATGTTTTGGTGCTGATCCCGTAATCATTTTGTAGGAGGATGCGGTTCTTCTAATTCCCGAGGATAGAAAACAAAAACCTTATGTGGCAATTATTAAGGTACTTGCTTTATGAAATTATCGTATGACTTTCCTTGCATGGATATTAATTGTGTGTTTTTTTTTTGGACACATACACATACATTATTGATGTAAGTGGTAAACAGTATCGAGGTAAAAAAAGGATGAGTCCATAGATTTACATACCCATGCAAGTTGTTTAGTTGCTTCTGTGTCATTTCAGTCTCTGGGTGACGGAATATTTTGTCTCATGTATTGTTCATCACTTCTTTCTCTGTGATTACTTTGTCCTCACCATTTCCAATTTAAATAAAAACCTTTTGGTTGATTATCTGCCTGGAAAGTCTTGGTATGTTGGTTTGTCTTAAATACATGTATTCTTGCCCTTTTTGTGGGCTGCTAGCCAATTTCCTAATGTAATCCAAACATGTTTTTGTGATGTTATGGGCAGCATGTTTGTTTTCTGATTATTTTCATTTACTTTCTTTCTCCTTTACATTTACAATGACTCTATCTTTAATTTGTGACTGCTGGAACTGGTAATTAACTAGGATATAAGTAAGACCAGAGATGGGAGCATGATGGTATTAGGACAGTGGTTTTATCGACCTGAAGAGGCAGAGAAAAAAGCTGGTGGAAACTGGCAGTCACGTGACACAAGGGAGTTGTTCTATAGTTTCCATCGTGATGAGGTTCCAGCAGAATCTGTAATGCATAGATGTGTTGTGCATTTTGTTCCTTTAAATAAACAGCTACCAAGTCGTAAACAGCATCCTGGCTTCATCGTACAAAAGGTGTATGACACCCAAGGGAAAAAACTTTGGAAGCTGACAGATAGGGATTATGAGGAAGATAAGCAGCATGAGATTGACTTACTAGTTCAGAAAACTATTGGAAGATTGGGAGATCTTCCTGATATAGAGACTACAGATACCACCTTTAATCAGGATGAGCAGTTCAAGACTAAAAGAAGTTTGATAAAAAAGAACATATCACCCCTTGATGTTTCTAGGGTGGAAGAAGCAACAACTAAGCCTGGTCAAAATCAAAAAGCTGAAACACCTGGAAGCAGGACTAATTCCTCAGAATATCATTCCATTTTAGTCAAGTTCATGGCACTAACTGGAGACACACATCGTGATAGATGGTTGGAGAAACTTCTTGAAAATATTAGGCATGCATGCAATTCTGCTGACATCACGAATGGAGATGAAAAGAGGAAATCTGGTTCTGATGATACTGCCCATGCAAGTGACTGTAAGTCCCCAGAAGTTGGAAATGGATCTCATAATCTCAAGGTATGCAGTACATTCTTTTTCCCACTCAAGGTATATATATGTATATCTTTTTGGTTTTCGGACGAATGGGGTGCATTGAAAATCGGGAGTGGATGAGCGAGGAGATGTTAGACCTTATACCTCACACGTTAACTTTACTGTCTTATACAGAGTGGCAAGTCTTTTCACTGGCCAGATGATGCTGTTCGTGCAGTTACTTCTCTGGAGAAGGCCTCTCATGAGTCTCTCTCCTCGGATTCTACGAAGTATAACCAAAAGTTGCGGCAACTGTGGTTCAATATCCAGGTCAGAAGGCTCTGTGTGCGTATATGCTCTTGTTTGGTTTGTTTGAGGTCAAGGCTTTTTTTTATACTATTTGCTGTTGAGGTCAAGGATTTTTTTATATACTATTTGCTGCTGAAGTCTATGTTGAAGATGTTAATGTCCTCAAATGTCTTATTTTGTGCTTATATTTATTCTATTTTTTGCAGAGAAATTCATTCCTAGCCCGCCGGCTGCTAAATCAAGAGTTGGAACCTTTAACAATAGTGAACATGTCACCTGATGAGCTAAAGGTATGGTCTTTATCATGCTTTGGTATATAGGTGTTCAGTTTTGAGATGATTCTCAAGGAAGATAAATTCTAATTTGATTTTGATCAGACTCAGTTTCCTTTAGCTGGATTTGTCACAATGGCCATTTTGGTAACATCTGTGCTGACTATGTCGTCCTTCTAGTCTTACTTAGTGATGGCTAAGACAAGGGGGATGGAAAGTGTTTATGCTGTCAGCTTAACTGGTCTCAAGTAGGCATTTTATTGAGTGATGGGAGCGTTGATGTATTGTTACCACGTCTCTTATGAATTTTGTAACATACCAGTTGTTCTATTCCTCACACTTCTGTTTGTTACCCTGTGTCTAATTAAACCATCAGAAGCATTACTTCGGCTATTGTATTGGTAGTATTTTATGTAAGCCTCTGGTTTGATTATTTGGGTTGGCCATGATGAACTTTTTTTTTTCTTCTTCTTTTCTGTTTCCAATCAGAATTGTTATTTGTTCTTTTCTAGCTCCTTACAAAATATGACCATGAGTACCTTTTTCCTTAAAAGATTGAACAGTTTTAAGGTACCCTTTTTTTTTTTGTAGCTCTACCAGCATGATTTTCAAAATTCATTTCTATTTGTTTCTAGAACTTTTGTGAGTTTATCTTCCTTTCCACTTCCTTCCTTTTTTGTATGGAGTAGGTCCAGTAGGCACACATGTCGTATATCTCTAGATGTTGTCTTTCTTCGGTTAGTCCATGTAAAGTTTCTAAGAGAATAACTTGGCAAGTGTGTTCAACTGGTGGAGGTATGTTGATATGTCTGTCTAT